GGGAGGGAGGGAGGGAGGGAAGGAGGAAGGAAGGTTATCCATTACAGGCTTGGGTGCAAATATAAGTGACCAGGCTTTCACATGTTCTATTAGGCCTTGATTTGCCTAACTATGGTTTGTTAATTAAGTGACAACTGACTAGGACCATACAACATTGTGGAAATAACCCCATGAAACTAAATAGCAGTTTAAGATGATGTGTAAGCCCAGCCTGTGCATGTGTGCGTGTAGGGTGTGTGTGTGTGCATGTTCATAATAGTATATGGGAAATGTAACAAATCACACACAGGCAATTATGGTCTATTTCCAAGTCCCACTGCCAAACTTTTTGCTCATCGGTGGTCCTTTTTCATTGTTTTTGGCTTAATAGCTGGGAGCAGGAAGCAACGATATGCTGTAGTCCTTTGCTCTGGCCCCCATCTCAGTTCTCATAGAAAGCAAAATATTCACAAATTGGCCAAGACAAAATGTCCTGACAGAGCAAATGTTCCGAATGAACATCCCCAAAGCAAAACAAAATAACTGCTGCAATGAGGTGCCTGGACTGTTGCAGACGAATTACTTGAAAGTCACAATTCATTGTTGACTCCTTTATTTCACCAAAGGAAAGTGGGGAGTTGATTAATTCCCTCCCACTATGCTCCAAAGGGCCTTGTTAATTTAAAAGGCATGGCGGCATTAACGACAACAACGGCAACACGCTTTATATCTATGGTAATCAGGCATTGGAGGAGTCTATAAATACTGTTATTTCTCCTAATCAGAACAAAAGCAAACGATTTGCAGTGAACAACACAGCATTTAGATGCATCGGGTTTGTGGCTGCAAGCCAGCTGTGATTCCATCTCATGCACTCATTGTTCTTTCTTTAGCTTGGTTTTGTTTTCCTCTTCTGGAGGAGATTCTTTTTCTTTTTTCTTTTCATTCTTTTTCCAACCAACCCTGTGCAAACACACACACAAATGACTGGACAAAACTATCAACTCTTAAAATGTACAGGCTGTTTATAGAATAGATCTCCCTTCTTGATGACTGTATGGATTACAGGACTCCAGGGAGTGACTGTAGGGAGTCCTCAAGCTGTATTTAGCCCCTGAAGCATTGCCATCTGCCCTAGCTTGTGCTCCTCTCATGCCCTCTCCAGAGCTTTCAACATTCACAGCTCTTGGCTACTTCCAGAGAGCACTGGGCTGAAATGTATTCTCCATTTTCCTACCAGTTCTTATTCAACAGGGTGAAAGAGAATTTGCTTTAGAAATTTCTTCCAAAGAAGTGAATTTGGGGGAATTCTCCTGGGTGGAATGCAATGTTCTTCCACTTATTTAAGGACAAGACATCCAAAAAGTGATGTATAAATGCCATCTTATCCATTATACCACCATCCCTCCAGGCATCTGCCTCTTCTCTGTTCCAATGTTTCCATTCCATGCCAAGAGAAGCTATCAAGCAGGACCTTCCACCAGGAGGCTTATGCAGTAGCAGCACTTATCTCTAAGGAGGTACCTTGCCCTTGAGAAATGGTTGAAGAAGTTCTCCTGCTCCTGGAGCAGTTTGGAGAAATTGTTCCACCAGTTTGCCTGCCTGTGGATTTCAGGAGAATTTCAAAAAAGAATGTGGGGCCTGGCTTGGTCTTTGATGGACTTCAAGCCACTGGAGTTATGAAGAAGGAAAGCCAACACCAAGCAACAGAATTTGGCAGAGGGGGAACTTCCCCTAAGGACCAAGGAGGAAGGATTGGATCCTTCCATGGTCTATAATGAAGGTGGTTCACCTGCAACTGCCTTCTATAAGCCTATGGAAGGGCACTTCGTTGCCCATTCATGCAAATGGGAAGACATTTCTAGTGCCTAACAAATGCAACTTATTGGCTCAATGACATCACTCTCTTGACCTCCTACAGTTTTGTTTTGTTTTCACTTCTGTAATAATTAATTTAAAAGAGACTC